TATGTTCACTGACATTCTCAGGCTTAAGTTGATTCTTTTGTGATTTTGAATAGGTTTTATCCGAAGAGTTACCTGCAATACTCGGTAAAATATCATTCCCAAAGTCTATGCGGTGGAATTCTGAGGTCTGTGCTGCTCTAGCTATGGAATTTAATTTTTGTAATCTCATTTATCATCCTTTTGAAACTTTTAATGCTGTTGCTGGCCTACATTTCCTGGTAAATGCTATATTTATTTATATGGTAATATACAAACGATCTTTATGTGTGTGTACTATGGCATTGTTTGGTTGATTGGACTGAGATAATGGATAAGTACCAAATAGTTTTTATTTGGTACTTATCCTGATGTATGTTTCTATTCTTGCAACTTTAGGTATACAACATTGGTTTGTGTGTCATGAATATTCTAATTCTATCATTTATAGTTTTATTCGTCCATTGCAAATGGAGCTGGAAGAGTCATTGTTGACAATTCTCCTGGCATAGTGCTAATAATGGACTAGATCAAAATAGCTCAATTAAATTCTAGTGCTTCTTCTATTAGTGAAGTTTCTAGAATAAAAAATATATCAAACCGCGCAATGCACCTTGCGTCGCTACGGAAACAACCTCCTTGTATAATTACAAGGGTAAGGTCTGCGTACAACTGACCCCCCAGACCCCAACCTGTTGGGAATATACTGGGTATGTTGTTGTTGTTGTATCATTTATAGTTTTATTGAAGTCTTTGAATGTGGCCTTCTGCTTTTGTTATTTTTCTGTAAACAACTTAAACAAAAAGAAAGAGGATGATTGTTTTTTGGTGGCAATATGAGATTAGTTTCCTTCTATTCTTACTTTTTGCTGCTGGAAGCATCATTTTCTTAATTCTTTTACTTACTAGTATTTCTTACGTTTTTCTGATGTTTGCTCCTATTATTTATTATCACGAGTAATTGTTGATGAACTGAAGACACCTTGCTGACTGTTGTCATCACAGGTCATGTTCAGTAGACCTGTTCGGTGGATATTGGCACTACATGGAGATGTTGTTGTCCCCTTCACATTTGCCGGTGTTCTAAGGCAAGTGAACATAGACTTTTATTTTTTATGTTTTATTTTCTAGTTTGGGATGCCTATTTGTAGTAGTGATGTTTAATTTATGTAGTATGCAAGTCTCGATAATTTTTTGAACCAGCATATGCGAAGTGCATCGAAATCTTTTTCTTCTCTGAACTTTTCCTTTGTCATGGTACTTCTATACTAAGTAACTTCCCCACATAAGGTTTGTGAGTTGTTTTGGGGCATCACGCGAATCTATTTTGTGTATTTGAAGTTTTCTCATTTTGTGATATAACTGTATTGGCATGTGATAATTTTCGCAGATAATCTGTTCATATAGAGTTCTCACCTAAGTTTTTGTAACAGTGGTGATGTTACTCATGGGCTACGGAACACTTTGTCAGCTACTATTAAGGTTTGTTTGTGTATAAGACCAGTATTTTGACCATTTTTTATTAAAAGGAATTATGTTTTTATGTTGCTTAATGTGATTCTAATTATTATTAGTCCATATCTCGGATGGCCATTTTTAGTGTATTTTGCTGTCTTTTGAAAAATTTGTTTGTTTTTTTCTTTTCTTTTCTCTTTATTTATGTCTTCAATTTTATTATGCTATCAATCAGCCAAATTCCCTTTTTCTTTTTGATATAATTACAGCAGTAGCAATGCACTAGGAGATTTTCCTGAATAAGCAGTTTGTCAAAATACTCTAAAAATTTTAGATATGCTATATATTTCAGTCTGTAATCGTTGGCATATGCATGCTTAACATATTACTAGGTTCTTAATAATTCATCATCTTTTTATTTCTCTTTTCTTGGTTCAAATTTGTAGTTCGATGGCTGTTTGGTAATTTGTTGAACCTTTTTCGCCAGTTGGCTGACTCGGTTTGTTGCCTGCCTTGTGACTTGATGAAAAAAACTGTTTGGGGTTGATAAACTAGTTGTCTTCTTATATTGTGTATTTGTTCTTTGTGCTATTGATGCCAAATTCCCGGAATACCTTGAAGAGTCGATACCCCCATATTTCATGGATGGATAATTCTTTGTTTTGTTAACTCTAATTCAATTGTGTATCGTTGTATAATAGAATTTTCACTGTCACAGGTGGGAAATGCTGAGTCTTATACTGATGTGATGCAGAATGCTGGAATCATCATCAATATTGAGGTAATTGACATTGACACGTAACCTGTATTTTCTTCTGATGCTTACAGAAACTAACATATTTGAGAAATAGAGATACTGAATTAACCATTTTTATAGGAACGCAAGAAGAAAATCCTGGAGAAGTCTAAGTCTGTTGTAGGAAATATTAATGGTTCTGCTGTGATTGAAACTGATTTACTTGATGAGGTAAGGAATGTGTGGCTGCAGTTTTCTGCTTCCGTCTTCACCTTTAGGAACAAGTTCAGAACATTCTCCTCATCTTATAGGTGGTAAATCTTGTTGAAGCACCTCATCCTGTTCTTGGGAAGTTCAGTGAGACCTTCCTTGAGCTTCCAAAAGACCTGCTAATAATGGTTTGTCAAATTTTTAGTGTTATTTCTGTCCTGCCTTTGTTTGGGAAACTGATGGTGCTTATCCATTTCTGCACACATGTATCTTAAGTTTCTACTAACGAACTTCTTGCTAGAATAACTTAGATAATGTACTTATCAAGTCCCTATTGATTTTGTATCAAGAAATCATTTGAGATCATTCATGTTGCCACATGTCTCATTGTCATGAAATTTTGCAGGTTATGCAGAAGCATCAGAAGTATTTTGCAGTAACTGATCAGGATGGCAAGTTATTGCCACATTTTATTGCTGTGAGAAACATTAATCACATTGTTCATCAATTTGTTTTTGAAATATGTAACTCGTGACTTTCAAATTATAGTTTTTGAATCCACACGTTTATTCAGGTTGCAAATGGAGCAATCAGTGAAGAAGTGGTGAGGGAAGGAAATGACGCTGTACTCAGGTTGATATTCACAAAGTATTTGTACAGTTGAATTGGTTATTCCAATGACTTGAGCTATAAATTAAATAGATAAGTGGTTGCAGAGCTCGATATGAAGATGCAAAGTTCTTCTATGAGCTGGACACAAGAAAGAGATTCTCTGAATTTCGAAATCAATTGAAGGGGATCCTGTTCCATGTAAGTTTCTGACATTTTAATGTATATTGTTTTGTTGCTTAGAAGATTTGGTAGGAGATTGTGGAAGTCACATTTTCATCAGAACATAGAATCTGTGTACAAATGCTATATTGGACTGTAACTTTATTATGGAGTATTAACTTTTTCGCCACACAAAAATCTGGGACTTAAATCATCTGATCACCACAAAGATGATAGCACCTTACTGGTGATACTTGCAAATCCTTAGAAAATAACCTCTTAAGTCCATTTCCATGTCGCTAATATGGTAATAAACAGGAAAAGCTGGGAACAATGCTGGACAAAATGACACGTGTCCAAAGTTTGGTTACTAAAGTAGGATCGTTACTGGGAATAAGTGAAGATGTCCATAAGGTGATTCAGGATGCTGCATCATTAGCCATGTCGGATCTTTCATCTGCGGTTGTTACCGAATTTACTTCCCTTGCTGGGGTAATGGGGCGTCATTATGCCCTGAGAGATGGCTACTCCGAGCAGGTTGTACCAGGGTGTGATATTTCTATTAAGTCCCCAGAAAACTTATTGCAATTTTCAATTTGTTTCTATGCTCTCATTGCATTCCCTTTTTCTATTGATTAGTCATCAGCTCCCATCTGTTCTATCTCCTTCAACACTTAGAGCTAAGAAGATGTGCTTGGCACTGAAGTCAACTGTTGCTTATAATTTGGCTTCTTAGTTCTTATGCGATTGGATACAAATTTCTTTTGGTTTTGACTGGCCAAATAATATATTTTTTTGGTCTGAACTACGATTGGATACAATCTTTTAACTCAAATTCCAATTCAAATTTAATCCAATTTAACTCTCAATATTATCAAGATAATTAAATAATATCAACCAATCATCATTACTCAATTTTCAACAAAATTCACTATTTATCCATTAACATATATTTAACTACCAATCATTGTTTTACTATTTTTACACCACATCAACTTTAATCATTACATTTTAACTGTATCCATTCACAAACTCAAATCAAATCCAAATTTCCACTCAATCAACTTTTTTCAATCTTAACTCACTTTATCCAATAAATCAAATAAATAAAAAAGAAATTACTTCCAATCGCATGATGTTTTACTTATCACTTAAGATGGTCGTGGTTCTTACAGTATTTTTTGCCTCTTAACTGTCTTTCTGATGTTTGAAGTGACACTTCAATTGTGTCGCTGTGTGCAAGCTGCCAAATTGATTAGAAACTGACTTTAATGATTTATTATTTGTCTTCAATTCTCTGACTTGATGCACACATATTGTACTTCCATAATTCACATGCTTTCCGCTTGTCCACAGACTCCACAGTTCTCCCTATGTTGCCTAACCCATAAAAATTACAATCTGCGGGGTGGATAGGGGAAAGATAATTGACATATCACATTGTTACTGAAGCTTCTCTTTAGACATTGCTGCATTGGTTTCCAAGACCTAACATAGGGTCATTTTTCGCTAAGCAATATTTTTCTGTATATATCAGGTTGCTGAGGCATTATTTGAGATTACCCTTCCTCGATTCTCGGGTGACATGCTTCCAAAAACTGATGCTGGAGCAGTATTGGCAATATCAGACAGGTAAACTGCGATCCTTTTTGTTTCTTTGATGGCCTTCTGTCCCAATGTCAGAAACGATAATCTGTTATATATAGTCAAGTTGTGCTCAGACAAGGCAACTGGAAATTACTCAACTGAATGCATTTAGGGCTGTTAACTTGATATCTGGTCATCAATTTTGTTGAGTTAGCCGTCATTATCTGCAAATGTTCCGTCATCCAACAGATGTCAAAATATTGACAATGACTTTTATCTGATGGAATGGAATAAAATCCAACAGGATGAGGCACATTGAAATTTTATTAGATATTCTGTTTGACCAAGATGTGACCAATTATCCAAGTGCGCATTAAATGCAGAGTGGAAGTAATAAGTTGAATTTAATCTATGTCGGAGTAGGTGGTGATGGCATTTTGGTATTACTCAAAATCAATTTATTCTCTGCAGATTGGAAAGCCTCGTTGGGCTGTTTGCTGCTGGTTGTCAGCCAAGCTCCACCAATGATCCTTTCGGCCTGCGAAGGATCTCATACGGTCTGGTATGCCATTACCAGTATAATAATAAGGATCTAATTTATACAGAGGGTATACAAGTGATGTTTTCTTTATATTTTGTAGGTGCAATTGTTAGTAGAAACCAATAGGAATTTGGAGCTAAGGAATGCTTTGGAACTTGCTGCTGATGTTCAACCCATAAAAGTAGAATCGCAAACAGTAGATAATGTAAGAGATGCTCTGTTGATTCTATTTTCTTTATGAATTTTATTTTCAATTTTTATAAAATTGGAATAAAATGGAAACTAATGAGTTGCTTTTGTAATAGCCTCAAACAACTTCTGAAAATATAGCCTTTATTTTCCATATTTTGCATTGAGTAGAATCAAATTCATACTTTATCCTCTATTATGAATCACAATCACATCATGACATATGAACTTGCAGCTGATGCAAACTACCAGTAATCTGCATCTGATGGAATTTTAGTGTAATATAAGGCTTTTACCACTTCTCATGTGAGATCGTTATCGACTATGTCAAGTGTGTGTATATGCATGAATAAATAAATAGAACAGGACTGTGATGCATGGAGTTATTCGCTTGACTTTTCTAGTCTTCTATTCAAGCATATGAATATAACAAATTCCTCTCTTGTTTTAGGCTCATCAATTCGTAACGAGAAGACTTGAGCAGCTTCTGGTATGTGGACCTATTTTGCTTTCAGGGTTTTATTTTCAATGCCCAATCTTTTCACAACAGTGTGGGGCCTATTTTGAATATCAGGAATAGAACTTGTGCAAAAATAGTTATTGCCCACTGAATAGGCATCAATAATCTTGTTGAAAGTGAAAGATCTTCTGTTTAGAAGAGAAGTGCTTCTTAGACTTGGTTTTAGACATAAAAGCGTGACAATAGTCATGTTTATAAGATTAGACTTCTGCTATGTCTCACAATGTTGTTATGTGAAACTAATATGATTGTCATATTGTTGTATCTGGATTTTTATCTTCTAGATTGATTCAAAGAAATACTTTTGAATTATTGCAAGTTACTTTCTAGCTTTGAGTTATGGGGAATTTTCACCTTCCTGTTGTGTTATTTGCCTTCTATCAATATATGAAGTGTTCTATCCCTGGCGGCTGCAAACCGTAAACGTAAAGTTCGATCTATATTTCGCATATTTACTTTGATCTGTATTTGAATGTATATTTGGCTGTAATCTTTTGAGTTCTATATCTGTTAACTTGAAGTAGGTATCTCATTTTCTCCTTCTGCAGTTCCAATATTTTTAGATGGTGTTTCACAATTTTAATTCATATTTGACAGATGGACCGAGGAATAAGTCCAGAAGTTGTGCGCGCTATTCTTGCAGAGCGTGCAAATTGCCCTTGTCTTGCTGCCAAGTCTGCACATAAAGTAAGTGACAATGATAGTCTTCTTTCATATTTATAATTTACCTACCCATGACGTACACATGTAGGTTAATGATTTTTACTTAGCCATTAATATTGGAGAGTTGGATTGGTCGTTACTGGCTGCTCCAAGGCTTATGTTATTCATTTAAAGGTGAGTCACTATTGTAGATACTAGGTAATGATCCACAAAACTTACTCTTTCTTTTATATATATGAGTGGGTACCTTAACCTCTCTACAAGTAAATTAGACCTCGATCCATATTTGTGATACCAAAAAATCAGTGTACTTGAGTTTCGAAGTTTGAGCACCAGTCAGAAAGATATTGCTGAGATTAGATCCTTCCAAATGAATTTCAGTCAACAATTTGCTTCTGGGTAACACATGAATACTTGCGTTGAGCATCAATTGCAGGCAAGACATGAGTTTCACAAGTTTTATAAATGGCATGAGCATGATTAGTTTTCTTTTGTTTTCTATAAGTGTAAAATATTTTTTTTCTCTCTTATTTTTACTATTTTTGTTAAACTCTATCGCAGATGCACGCCTTATCCCAAGGTGATCTGCTACCCAAAATTATCGAGGCATACTCTCGCCCAACAAGGATTGTTCGTGGAAAGGATGTCACTGATGGTTCAGAGGTAGTTGTTGAACCTTGGAAATATTGGTTTTGCTTGAAACCCTGTTTACTTTTCTCTCATTTTGGGCCGTTCAAAATTTAGACATTATGTGTCTTTGTTGCCGTGCACTCCTTTAGTTCTGTATACTTCATCGAATGTGTTACGTGTATAGTGTGCACATCAAAGTATCTGCCAACTAAGAAAGAATGTTCATGTGGAGATCAATCAGCAATGCTTGCTTTGGTTTAATCGGGAGATCATTGTTTGCTAGACAATTCATTGTTTTATTATAGTCGTTGCATAATTGTTTCAATTTAAATTTCTCAATATTCTGTTTATCCGTATATGCTAAACTTGAGAAGCGGTCCTGTTAGGTGGATGAGGCAGCTTTTGAAACAGCTGAAGAGAGAGCTTTATGGAGCACATTTACATCATTGAGGAAGAAAATTCATCCTGGTACCTACCTCCATCTATTTTAACTTTTTACTTTTTATTATATTTTTTCACCCTCTATGTTTGTTCCTACGTTGCTTACCCGAGTTAATGTGTCACAGACATGGAGGTTGACGATTTTGTTGAAGCATCTTTCGATTTAGTACAGCCACTGGAGGATTTCTTCAACAATGTTTTTGTTATGGTGGTATGTTTCTTAGTACTGTACCGATGACAAAGATGCTGAATTACAATTTTTTTTGAGAGGGAGAATTAAAAGGTTAAGAAAAATTATTCTGAAGTTTTTACCAAATTACAAAAGGTACATTTCTCTTCTACGATTAGAAAAGTGAAAAAACAAGATGTTTCCGGTTATCTTACAAATGTAGGCCTCAGTTGTCCAATGTGGAGTACTCTCTGTTTTAACAATCACAGCATGCATCAATTATGAAAATGAACTAAAATACGAACTTCCTTGTACAACTTTACAATGCATGCTTTATTAAGACTCCATACTATCATAACTTTCAAATTAAGAATTTGTAAGAACAATGCTCGTCGTTTTAACATGTATTTTGTAATATGCTTCAAACTCTGATTGCAGGAAGATGAAAGGATCAGAAACAACAGGCTTGCACTACTACAAAAAATATCCAATCTTCCGAGTGGAATCGTGGACCTCTCAATTTTGCCAGGCTTCTAAAACCATTTGTTTTGAGGAACGAAAATTTCATTCCTTAATCCAATCATTTGTTAGTGAGATAAAAAAGAAATAATGATAAAAAATGGCAGGTGACTTTTGCAGTCAATGTTGGCGCATTGGGGTCGACGGTGAAAAAATTCTCTAAAGAACTTTGTAGCAAAATGTTGTGGTACAAATAATTATTATTATATTAAAATTTATTTAAAGTAATCAGCAGATATCAAAGAGTTTTGTAGTCCTGAAAAAATTCGAATATTCAAGACGAGGATATATAGCTTTTAGATTCGGATGGATTTGCATAGTTTCACTGGATCAAAACTGACAATCATAACCATTCAAACACACGAGAGATTGGGACTCATGGGTCTTGGTTATAATTGTTCAATGGGGCAATTGACGCACAATGTCTCTTATATACAATTTTGGGTTGTTACCAAAATAACACTAAAAAAAATAAAAATAATAATAATAATAAATTCATCACCATAACAATCAGAGCCTTTGATTCCTAAATAGCTCCAAATCCTTCAACTTGGCCATGAGTTGGGAGTGCTCATTCTGCATCTTATCCAGCATTGTCTCAACAAAATGCAACTCCTCCTTAAGATACATAATCTGCTTATTCAATAACGCCATTGCTTCCCGACCATTTTCGCTCGTTCGGTGCCCAAAATCACCTTGCGGAGGGACTACCAGGATCCTCTGGGGCCGACTTAATAACACAAGAATGCTCATCTGAACCATAAAACAAAAGAAAAACGATTCTTCAAAAAAAAAAGAAGAAGAAAAATGACGAGCTTAAAACTCCAAGGAGAATAAATGTAGTAAAACGGTGACGTGCATGGTGTGAATCAAAGATGAAATTCATCAAGCTTACCTGCATTAAAAGGAGAATTACGGCAATAGAAATGATCAGGAGTAGAGATGACGTGTTCTGATGCTTAAAAGATGCAAAGGCTTTGGTCATCACATCTCTTAAAAGAGACCCACTCGTTGCATTGCTCACGTTTGGTTGTGGAATTTCATTTATTAGATTCCTGATTGGCACTTCAGGTATGATCTCCGATGTTCTCACATCACTCGACTGGTACTCCACACGCTGCAGCTGAGTACTTTCTTGATTTTCCAGTTGAACTTGCTTGTTTGGGACCGAGTTAGACGCAGAACCTCCTGAAAAGGGAGGTAAAGATAATTAATAGAATAAATCCTAGAATATTTATTTTTGACAAAAGATAGAATTTGCACAGCTGTATCAGGTCGAACGAATTCTGGCAGTTGCAGATGAGACGTATAATTTACCTTCTTCCTTCTCTAGGTTCTTCTGTTTCAAAACTTCGTGTGCCTGAAATGTCGGTCCAAATAACATTTAGATGTTGAAACCTAAAGCAAGGATNCTTCCCTGCAACATTAGCATTAGCAATTATAACTAGTTTTTGTCAAAGCACCTTCCAGAAAATAATAATGTACAAACATTAATTTTTTTTTAAAAAAAAAAAGCATCCAGGGAGTTATTATAGCCTCCTGAACTTGTTTATCAAAGGCGCTAGATTAAATCTCCACTTGTTTCGTACATAGAGATGAATATTAGTCCAGAGAGTACAAGGAAAAGCAGAGATAAGACAAACCTTTCAGAAAGGTTTTCTTGGAAAAGGCCACATTGGTGTATACCCTCAATATGCAACCAGGCCTCTGTTCATTGCCCTCTTCCTCAACATCCCAATGGCCCTGAAATATTCAGAACAATAAAAAATATAAAATAAGATAAAATCACAAAAGATTTTGTCAACAGATCTACGAAGTAGGATGTTAGAAGGTTCATAAAAGAATTTTTCAACACCAACATTGGAAGACTTGAGAAATTTATACCTCCACCCTGAAGTAGTCCCCATATGGCACGTCACTGATCTCTTGTGAAGTATCGATGACCAAATGGCTGTGAATGGAAAAATCAGCAGGTAAGAAGTAGAATAAGGTTACCAACCAACACACTATAAGACCTCACCAACAAGACAACAGTAAACAGCAGGACATCAGCAAAATTGATCATCGTCAAATTTGAAATTTCTAATGGCAATTGGAACTTGCCAGTTTCTGTGAACTCTGTATTTCTGAACTTCTTGACAGCCACCGAATTTTGCACCTGCCAGGAATAGCAAGTCAGGAGAGTAAGAAATCGTGTATCATGTACGGCAGGAAAACCATTTCTAGAACAAATATTCATCTATTTCAACCAAGTACCAAAATAGAGTTTTATTGGATGTAGAAATGACACTTCACGAGTATGCCCATCTTTTCCATGAGGCTGCCATGGAGTGCACTTGAAATCTATGAGGGATAACAGCAGACTAGATAAAATACGAATACAAATAAGAATAAAGTAGAAACATGGATATGACAAGACACAAAATGCCTTCAACTAGCCACCTTTATCACCACATTTTCTATGAAAGGTCTCCTGGAAACTGACACCACCATCAGAAAAGAACAAACTAAAGAACTCCTCTGCCCGTATCTGCAGATCAATAGAAATACACCTGCTATGATCCATCCTAAAACTGAAGAAGTATAAACAAAATGAAACTAACAAGCAGAAAAAATTACATTACCGGAAATCTTGATTCTGCAACTTTAGTGTAACCTTCGTGAACTGCATTGTGAAAAATAAGCACGCAATGAAGTATAGAAAAAACTAAATAAATCAATCCAACTCAACATATACATATTTAGATATGCAACTCATCCTTCAGCTCAGGCCTCACAAAATACCAATCCCAATTTTTTTCATAAGCTTTAGCAGAAAGTTAATAAAATGGGAAAAGCAAAGAGTAAGATTTTGACTCACCACCAGGTGCATCAGTGTCCTCGGGCTCCCAAGCTGAGGAATTTTCTGGTGGTGAACACTTAAGAGTAGAAGTAGCTTCCGGAATCACCTCTTGCGTAATTTCCACGACAGAAGCTGTTGATACAATTTCAGGTTCACCATCACCGACATTTCTGGACTCCTCCAACATGGGGTCATTTTTATCACTGTTCACACAGAAACATCAAGTTAATTTGACTCCCAGGTCCCAACCCAGTCTTGTGAGAAAGGGTTCCAATAAAGAGCCACTTTATTAGACAGATCCTCCTTTTGGAGAAGGTTGCGACTGGAGACTTTTTCTTCGCGGTAGAGAATTTTCTTTTTTGGAAATGCAATATTGTTGGACATGATAATGATGAAATACTTGATATTTCTAGTAAACGGTGATTGGGTATGAATGGTTGTTAGAAATATGAGAGTAGGCAAGCAATATAGTTGGGGAAAAAATTTGTAATATAATGATTAGTTATTCTTTTGGTAAAAGTGGAACTGAGCTAATAGTGTGTTTTCTGGAAAAGCATTAGCAATTGCATCCTGGGAAGAAAGAAAGGGTAAAAAAGTCAAATGGAACAGAATAAAAACTTCATTGTGTAAAAAAGGTGACCTAAGTTTTTCATAAGCCCCAATCTTACAGTTGAAATAAAAATCCAGGAGCGGACAGTTAAGTAAGCAAAACTAGCATTTACAGACGAAATTTTTAGAAGCTGGACATATATCCATCTATCTGTGTATCCACCAATCTATCTGCATTTTGTGTGTGTGTGTGTGTGTAGATATAGACAACATACCTTTCAATGATATCCGAATCATCTATAGATTGTCTGGAGCTATCTGATTCTTCGACAGTAGAACTGCCATTCTCTTGGCTCCTTATACCAGACTTTGGCTCCTAAGAGAACAGAAAATAAGTAAAGAACTACTTAAAATTAACATGTAGTTGAACATTGTAATTCTTCGGAAAAAAAAAATGAAAAGTAAAGTACAAAATTACTGAAAGAATATTATAATTCTTCCAAAAAAAAATGAAAAGTAAAATACAACTTGATGAAATAAAGTTTAAAGCTGATCCTACAAAGTTAAAATCATAATATAACTGCATCAGCTTCCATTGATCGATTGTTACCAAAAACATTGCTTAAATCAAGTTAATGGAAACACAGTGCACTACTCAATAGTCCACCAACAATCACAGAAATGGAACCCCATCCATGTGCGGAATGGATGTACTTGGATTCCATAATCCTCATACCTGCTGATCTGTATTTTCATGAGATCCATTGCTGTGCTGCACCCAACCTTCATTAATGAGCTTAAAGGCCTCGTCGCGGAATAAAAAAGAGGTGAAGAAATACTGAAGAAGGAAATAATGATTTCATCAATCAAAAGTTACTAACAGAATCGAAAGGCAAAACCAACAAACTATGCAGAATGCATTGACATGGATTTTTTCTTAAAAAAAGGCGTACGGCACTGGGTTCATACCTTCTTCCCAGCAGCTATTATTTCTATAGCTGTCGGAAAAACAGCTACTGCTTTTGCTCTACGTACTGAGGTGATCTCATGGAATGGAATTACTTTCTGAGAATTCAAATGGTTAATTAGGGTCTACACGTTCATATATCAGAAAACTCAATCCATACTCAATTCATACTCAAAATCTAACTAAACTTTAACCAACTCCACTATCCTCAATATTAACAATATAATAAAATAATACCAACCAATATCCATTCACATAATTTTAACTATCTATCACTTCACATCATCTCTCTCCTACTTTTACATCAAATCAACTTTAATTATTTTATTTTAAATATTGTTTTAATATAAAATCAAAATCCCACTAACAACTAATCATACTACTTTTTTAAAATTAACTCTGGTTAACCAAAAAAACTCATTTTGAGTGGATATATTTGTATACAAACACGCCCTGAACAATCCAAATAAAACTTGACTCATACTACAGTGACAGTCGCAAACATCTCAAGTAGTATTAATATTCATTACATAGGAAACAAAAGATCGTTAGTACATTGCATGGTGTTATTGTACAAGGAAGCCGAAGATCATACTGATACATAATGTCTCATAATTTCTTCAAGAAGCTGTCAGCATATCAAAGATATGATATTATCCTACAATAATTATAGTAACACTGCAGGAATTAGGTTCCAGGAACTTCTTCATTCAGAATTACAAACTTCAAGTTAGCATCAAGCTTTAAAAATATAAGAAGAAAATATCAGTTCAAGAATAACCTTTGTCTCAAATCCAAACAGATTGGAGTAGAAGCAGATATAGTGAACAAATAAGTACATATGACCCTGCAAGGAAGAAAGATAAAACATATAAGGAAGGATGGTAGAACCAAATGTCTTCTGTCAATCACATCTTCTTAGTGTACAGAAATAGAAGTCAGTCAGTCCAAAACAATGTGGGGTAGCATTTCAGCTTTATGTGATCAGGAAATAGTAATTGTTAAGGATTCAAGATATAGGAAAAGGTAAAAAGAAAAATCATCTAGTACATCAAATTACCTGAAGAAGAAAATTGTCTTGCAAGGCACAGTTGAAATCTTGGATGAGGACCTGTACGATTTCGGGGGAACTGAATAAATTTTCTCGCAAATAGATTGCACATCATAAAATGGTCTGTCACAATTGACATAAACCACAACTTATGAAACCCTGATGTTGCCACCAGCAGACAGTGCAAGACTAAGTAAATGATAGCATATGATTTACATGATCAAGAAAAGTTGTCAGGATACATGAAACAGATTGATAATATAAATGAAATAGGCCATAAATACTAGTACTAATAGAAGAGGAATATAAAAAAAATTATATATTTCCATAAAAGTTGGCCAGTCATTTAAAATAGTATTTTTACCAATGAGTTCACTCACCTCATCAGACGGAAGACGAAACAGTTGTCGATATTCTTCAACTCTTGAAAGGGGCTGACTCTGCATAAAAGACATCAATTACTCAGAACATATGCACCCAAAACATGGCCTATGTAACAAAATGTGGAACATGAGGATGATAATCAGAAGGCTCACGAAGTATTAATCTAAATCAATCCTAACTAGTTATATACATGCGGGGTTAAGTTCTTACTAGAAATGCAACTTTTGATTTTTTTTTTTTAAGGGATGAACTACTCATTTTTCTTTATTTTGCTCAATCATCAATCATGCACACATATCTTAGCTAGAGTTATAGCTATGCCAATCTGCCAATGATGCATAACAGATCAACGCAATCCCAACTTGCACCTTATGAACTAAGAACTCGAATACCCACCAACTTGCTCTTGCTAATAATCTCCATTCGTTATATACTGACAATTTCCACATATTTCAAACAAACTAAGGTTTCACATAACTAGCTCGGAAACAAAACAAAGCATAAAAACATTAAATTCTACACAGAAACTAAGCACCAAATCAGTAAAGGGACGCGATTAAGCTCCAACAAAAAACACATTGATTTAGTAGAATCCTTAATTCCCCACAAAAACAAACATGAAAATTCAAATTAGCTAGCAAATCCTCAACGATGGCAACCTAATTCCGACTTTCCCTCCTCTCGTTGAAATCAGCTAACAACAAACGTAATCCGAAATTTACCTGGAGATCAAGCTGCCTGGATGGGCTGGGCGTGGATACCACAGAGGGATCGGTCGAACCACGCGTGGGCGATCCCGACGGCGAGTCGTCGGAGCTTCGCCTGGGAGAAGTACTGCTGTCCATGGATTGAGAAATAGGAGGCGTAGGGTCCACCATATTCTCCGAGACCACGGCCGCCATGGTACGGCGAATCTCGTACGCACACTGCGTATTCTTGTAGCTGAAATTCCCCGGCGACGGTGAACTGCACGGTGGCGGGGCCCAACTGTAAGTAAAGTGTCGGTTGATGCGTGTGTAATCGAGTTTTTTTTTTTTTTGGTGGGTAATCGGAATCTTCTGACTGAAGTCTTGTTGTGTTTTTTTCAAAGTGAAGTTTGGTTGCGATTCGTTGACCTTTCTAACCTCACCATATGATCATTTTTTTGAGTGTTTCACACGAATTTTCATGTGAGACTATAAAACAATTAGGCGAGTCCACTCACATCATGTTTTAAAAAATAAATTGCATATTTTTGTTTATGTTGTTTTAAAATAAAATCAAAGTCAAAAAGCTTTTGTTTGAGCTTGTTTAATAAATGAAGTTAGAACTTGTATGGGTTGTATTTGGTGTTTCAATAATAATGTAACATAAAAATGCATAAGAAATTGGAATTCATCTTTTATTATCTGATAACTAGTAATTATTTGTAGTTAAACTTAACCAATTGAGTTCATAGTCCTACTTTTTTTCTTCACTTTTTCTTAAAGGAAAAAAGAAGTGCACTTGGTGTAATTTGTTCTTTTAATTTGTATTTTGATAGTCTTTGATCACTCGTCATTTGAGCCTTATTTGAAACCCATGTTGGTGTATCCACATTATCCAGCGGGCCTTAAGGCCCATGACGGGTAAGTTTAGTTGGACCTTAGAGGATGTAATATTTAAAGCCCAACTTTAGTGTATTTCAGATTCCCATAACAAAATGAGCATGAATATAACTTATAGAATAAGTTGTGAAATATATATAGTAAATAATTTTTGTTTGGGATGTAAATTTGAAAGTAACTCTTTTTATACATTTTGTCTAATACACGTTTGAAAAACAAATATGAAATGATCGCAAAATTGAAGGTAAACAATTATTTGAGTTTTAAATCTACAACAATAAAAACAATAAAATAATTGATTTTTCGGACGAACCACATGTAAACTATGTGTTGTAAAATAAATAAATAAATAAAAATAATACTAGATATTATCTAATCTTATCTATTTATATTATGTTATATCCGGTGCATCGCACGGACATATACTCTAGCTATATTTATTGCATGTTAACTCGTGGTCATCGTAAACAACAAAAAAATACGATTATTCATTTTTTTAAACCTTTCTTATTAATCTATTTTCTTTTGTTTGGGCGTGAATGTCTATATCACATCGTAAAGAACCAACTTTATGAATATTGCATTGTAGTATAATATATTGTAGTTTAGCTCTCCTACCCACAGTGAGCTAATGTGGATAAGTAGATGTGACGAGAGAATAATTAATTATACACATATACAGTTCGAAAAATCATAGTGTCTTTACACATTTGATAGCACATTTTAATGTGTATAGTTGAACAATTTCGAAAAATATCAATAACAAATAAAAGAAATTACGAGAAAAATACTGTTTTTTTCCTCAACTTGAACAATTTACAGCAGGTGAAATAATGTTTGCACAATGAATTAAGGAGGCGAGCGACACGTAGAAAATTGACCAACTAGTGGGCATTTTTTATAAAGTAATCATCACAATTCACATGCAAGACAATAATTTAATTTGGTGCAACAGAAAGCCAAAAAAAAAAAAAAAGGATAATAATTGAGGAGTTGGAGTTGCTCTACACTATCTGCCAAATTTCATTTTATCAATGAATTTGGAAGTCTGAAAAACAAGAAACACGAATCCACACAGATTTATTGTATCAAGTAAGCATGTGCAGCAAATCAGTGTTTGCTGCTACTTTCACCTGAGAATATTGACAGTTTTGATCCACATGAAAAAAGTAAGAAAATGAAGATAAACTGTGGCATAGAATAAAATAATTAAAAAATGTTGAATTTGATCACATTTTAAAACAGTTAACCTAATTTACAAAAGAAGGCAAAAAGAGAGCAAAGCAAACACATTCAATCGGGCAGACCAATTTATTCAACTGAGGAACAAATTCAAACTCTGGTACAAAATACAGTAATAACACAACCAACTTTTTCTCTTTGTACAGAGATATTCTCATCCACTTACATAAAAATGGTGATGAAGCCCCACCAAAATCCCACATATATTCACATATNCAAAAAGGAAAAACAAAATAATTAAAAACAATATAAAAACTCCATTTTAATTTTTAACCATCCCACACTAAATCGCATACGACCGATTGCATACCGTCTCAAGCGCCTCATTCATGAGGCCCGAGAAGCTCATCATGGCCTGAAAAACCCCTGGCAGGCCCGTTTGAATATTATTCAACGTCATGGCCCGAGTAACTTCAACTGCCTTTGCATGCCTCTGCATTTCATCCTCCACTCGCCTTTCACAAACCGCCAGCTCAGCCTTCTTATCCGCAAGTGGGTCTCGAGCATCCAGGCCCGCCCCATCATCCGGAAGCCCAATCCCCACCATAGAGTAGGAATGATAGTATTTCTTCTCGATACTCCTCAAAGAAGACGCTTTCTTCTCGAGCTCCTTGGACGAACTTTCGGTCCTTTTCTTGATTTTAATCTCCTCCGTCTGCTTTAACGAGATGGAGTGAACAACGTTGATGAAGCTCTTGATGGCCTCGGAGGCCACTGTGTCGGGGACTCGGTCGAGGGCGAGTTTCCATTCGTCACAAAAGGCGAACGAGTTCGAAATCGGGTCTTTATTATTATTATTATTATTGTTGTTGTTGTTCTCGTTTTGTTGTTCGTTATGGATGGGGATGAGTGTGAGGTTGAACCAGGTATGGAGGGCTCGAATGAAATCACGCTGGAATTTGACGAGTCGGCAAAAAGCTGAGTGCCAAGCAGAGACAGCGGACTCGAGGTCTCGGGTGGCCTGCCGGTGGAGATCAGAAGTGGATTGGGCCTTGTTCGCCAGGTGGACCAGCCCACGTACTTGCTGGACCACGTCATTCTGGACTTGGTGAAACTTGTTCATCGATCGCCACATGTACATGAACCTGCAAATTTTTTTTCTTCATTCATTAACAAAATTATGAAGATCTATTGTTTGTTTCGAATTATAGCTCTTCTCTTATCTCTTATAATAAAAATTTTGATGCTAGGCTATTTTTCTGTAAAAAGTAAAAACTGAAACTTTTTTTTCAAGGTTGTATAATTAAACTGCTCTTATAATCTTATGTGATGAATGATGATGTCATGTAGGGATTCTTGTCGACCGGGTGGTAACTTCTTTTACCACTATTTTTTTCACAGTGAACGAATGTTAACAATATCGGTTAAAAACTGACGGGCCATACAGTAAACAATTCAAATAGCTTATATGATGGATGGCATAGATTTGAAGCAAAGCTTATGTGGGCTGTGTCGTTATTAATTACCACTGTAAGTTGCCTTTCAAGTAAGCCTACTAAGCGGGGACCCGTGGCCCAATAACTGGTTGGAGAAAAAAAGGACAGGCTCTGGAGATGGCGGGACACAATTTGTTTGCAGGTTGGACTAAGGAAAAGATGTAATAAAGCTACAAATATAGAGAAAAAGAGTACAAACAAGACATCATAAAAGTTCCAACTACCAAGCAACATGGCAGCAAATGCACTTGCATGTTTTACACAAGGCAGAAACTAAACGATCAAAAGGGAATCACTTGCTTGACCAGTTCTGGATATTACTAATGACCGTAATAATTACAGAACATACCCTTGAGNNNAAAAAATAACTCAACTCCTACACATAGTGTTTGTTTTTCAGTGGCAAACCCATGAAGTTAACGCTATAGGAAATACCGAAATACCTAAACTGATGCTCGTAATTTTAAAGGATCACATTTTTTAAAAAGAAAAAGAAATAGTCCTAAAACTATATACGTTGTAGCCTAATGTCGACACTCAAGGTAATAACATGAGCAGATGTATAATGTACCTTCACATGCTAGACAGGTAAATAATGATTCAAGTTTGCATGATCAATCAAGCCGTTAAAATCCCACTAAGTGGGGTCGGCTATATAGATCACATATCGTGCTCGATCAAAACACATAATCCTCATTCAAATTTAAATATTTGAAATCACTTTTTATTGTCACCTTCCATTTTTTCTTAGGTCTACCCCTCTCCCCCTTTTAATTTGTGCTCTTAATTATAATGTTTCTACCCTTCTCATTCAAGTTTGCATGATATAAATATTAATTCCAGTAAAATCGACGACTAATAATTTAATACCAGCAAAGGAGATTTGTACATTACCCATGGCAAAGCTCGACAAGCTGTGGGACCAGGTCAGAGTCTCTGAGGCCGATAATAGCAGAGGAAGTAGTTGAAACAGCTTGAGATGTCACCATAATTAGAGATTGAAGCCTTTTTATTGCTGTCTTTGTCTTGTCCAGCTTGGCCTCACCTTCACCCTTATACTCCTGGCTTTGGAGAGAAGACAGTTTCTTCTCGTGCTCGATTTTTACTCCCTCTCTAGCCTAATAAAATCGATTATCATCACAAACAAGCATGTATCGATATTCAATAATAAACAAAAAAATTGAAAAATCTAGTTTGAATTTTCAAATGACATACATTCTCATAGAATATCAAAACCAAAAACATATTTTGCCAAAAAAAAAAATAGAAAATAGAAAATATTACAGAAGCAGGGACTCACTATAATAGTGCCTTAATTAACCTCTATGGTGAATTATTAAAAAATTGGACATGATAGTAATATTTCAATTCATTGATGACAGGCATACATCAGCTGGAAGGCAAGTTAGTTAGAAGGCAGACCCACCACCATGTTCCAAGTTGACAAAACCTAAGATAATTCCAGGGTGTTCTTGTCACACACCACAAGAGCAGTCACTCGGGGCCATTTTAGTCATTCCACATAAACAAACTTTGGGTAACTATTAGAGCATATCAGATAAGCTTGAGCCATTAGCATAACCACATCACTACCACCTAACTAAAAGACACATGTTCCCCATATATACAAAATCATACCTCAAAGTTCCATCACCTTTTCTGACCGAAAATACAACGAATAATAATACTTTTTACGCAATTGTCAACTATGGCGTCTAAGCAAAGCCTAAAATAATGCACTAAACAGAAGAACAGTAAAAGAATACTAATAATTTAACCAGGTAGACAATTGCCTTAATATTTTTTATTTAAAAAAAAAAAAGAAAAGAGATTTATATGAGTACCTTGACTTCTTGATACAGTTTCTTTTCCCACGCCAATAGCCGTTCCAAA